CGGATTGGGCTACCAATGGGCGGTATAAAAATAAAATTTATTATTATTTTTAGTATTATTATTAATAATGCAAAGAATTGTAAATAAGATTGGTCTTTAATACAGTCTGTTGTTTTCTTGTCTTGTATTTTTTTCTTTTATCCCCTAATGCCTTTATTATAGCTTCAACACTTTGATGTATCATGTTTGGCTCCAAATTCAATATTGTCAACAATTAAAATAGATTTCTACCAAACCTCATCTCGTTTTATTATATATGCCATGGCATTGATTCTTCTTGTTCAAACACAATAAATTCATACCATGCTGAAACAAAGTTGTCTTGTTTAAAAACAAACACTATTACTTCCAATTTTTACACTGCTCTTTCCTCTTATATCCATATCCACATACTTTTCATCCCCTTACTAGTTCTCCTGCTGTTTCCTCTTCTTAAGCCTTCTCAAATTTGTTAAAAGCCCAAGTTTTATTCAAAGAAATAGAGTTTAAAGCAGTATGCAACAGATGCACTGAATTTTTTAAAAAATGATTACACTTTATGACAAGAACAAGTTATGAATCTCAACTATTTATACCTTTTCTTTCTGATCATTCAAGACTGTGTATGTACAGCATGGTATTTTTAAAGATGGCAACACTAAAAGCAGTATAAAACAACAGTGAAAATAAACCATAGCCTAACATACCATCCCATAACACAGGAAGACATCAAAATGAATCATTTTAGAGCAGCAGCCCACATCCCAAATGGCTGCTGAAATATGTGTGCTTTGTATTTCTTCCTGCAAGTAAATGGCAACATGGCATCTTTGTAGATCACAAATGCCAGCATAGAAAGTGCCATCAACACATGCACAGAACTAGCAACCAAGCAAGCATTAACCGTAAAAAGTAGAATGACATTTATTTCACAGATGTTTCCTGTGGGGTCAGTGAGCCCGTATCCTCCACATCCAGATGCTAGTAAAATAGTAAGTAAAAGTTTAGGGTGGGTGGGGTGGACAGAGCACAGTTATATTACAGACTAATTTGAGAGCCACTTCTTTCCACCTAGGAAACTACAGATACTACAGTGGGGGTTCTATGGATCTTTGGTCTAATCTGCACTGCAGAAATAATGCAGTTTGATACCACTTTAACTGCCATGACTCAATGATATGGAATTCTAGGATTTGTAGTTTTGTGAAATACTCAGCCTTTTCTGTCAGAGAGCTCTGGTGGAACAGCAAACTACAAATCCCAGCATTCTATAGAATGGAGCCATGGCAGTTAAAAAGCGGAGTCAAACTGCATTATTTCTGCAGTGCAGATTAGGCTTTTAACAGAGAAATTTTCATCACATTCAATAAATGACAATTTATTTGAGTCCTACAAGCTCAATTGTTCTTTGCATAACTATTTTTCAGGAAACAATTATAAGTATTTAAAATGATCCCAACCTAAATTGACTAAAGGAAAACAGCTGAATATTCACTTTTGAAGGAATAAACAGACTGTTCCTATATTATCTGCAGCCTAAGGTGTAAATCCAGTTCTTAGTTGCAACCAGAGTAGACCCATTGAATCAGTAGAGCTGTGAATGTTGACATACCAAGTTCCCATTGATTCAATGGGTCTAGTCTAGTTGGCACAAATAAATGAATTTAGGCCTAAAGCTGCAAATATATATGCACTCTTGGTAGATGCTTAATACATTTGAAATATAAGTGAGACTACTTCCAGGTAAACATGCATAAGTTTGTGCTGCTTCTCTTTCATCAGCCCAATAGGATTGTGTATGTATGTCCCTTCAAGTCATCTGCCAACCTATGCATAACGTCCAGCTTCCCAATTTGGCAGAGACAGTCACAGTTAATCTCTGTTCCCCTACTTTTTCAGGTGCTTTCAAAATTTCCCAGTTTCCTTTGCCTGCTTTCCCCCTTTGTCCTCAACTTGCTGCAAATTGAGTAGTAGTTTGCATTCCATTAACTCAGCAGAGAAGAGAGGAGAGGAGGGAGAAAAATCTTGCCCCTCCTGTAGACTCAGAAGCAAATTGGGATAGCCTCTCCTAGCTTGTGTTGTTGTTGTTGTTGTTGTTGTTGTTGTGTGCCTTCAAGTCATTTCCACATTATGATGACTCTAATGTATCATAGGGTTTTCTTGGCAAGATTTGTTCAGAGAGGGTTTACCTTTGATTTCCTCTGAGGCTAAGAGTGTGTGACTTGTCCAAGTTTACCCAGAGGGTTGTCAGTGTGTGGATGATGAGTGTTGCAGTGATGCTCTTTGACACTCAGCAGAATTTACAGAACAATCTGGCTGCTGTGATCCACAGCCACTTCATATCTCTTACCATCAACTAGCCCAGCTTCTCTTCTCCAGGCAATCCTGTCTTCCTCAGTCAAGAAGACACATTGTAAAGTCCAAAAGTATAGTTTATTAATGCATATAAAAGAAAATAAGTAAAATCCATTGTGATGAACTTATCCAGTTCAGCCATGAGAGATTACATCTTTAACAGATCCAAAAGCATAGGATCCCAACTTGTAGTTAAAAGTTAAGGAAAAGGAACAGATCCATGTTTCCAGATCCAGGAATTACATTGTAAAAGCAGTAGAGGCATACTCAAAAACCTAAAAGTCAAAACTTAACTCCATGGTTAAAACCACTGCCGAACACACACGCACACACTGTGCTTGTAATATAAACATTCCAGACAAAAGGAATCTCTAGGCCCTTCCCCTATTCTACCTTCTGGGTGTTAGCCTTATGTTGATTGTATAATGCCTGTATGATGTGTATTAACCCAGCCTCTTGTTGTCCATCATTCCCCATGTGACTGCTTTTCTCATGAGCTCAGATGTTGATATATTGACTATCTTTTTCCCAGCTAAAACTATAATTGTTATGACTTCTTGACCATCGAGGCCGAGTTCTCTTTTTCTCTAAATGTTGTTCCCATGAGGAAATTTCCACACACACACCTCTACATTTCTCCTTTGATTGTATAACCCATCTATATTCCAACAAGGGTTTCCATGGCCAACCAGGGATTTGAACCCTGGTTTCCAGAGTTGTAGTCCAGTGTTCAAACCACTACACCACTCTTACTCGTGTTTCTCATTAATAACTTTTGCCCTCTTAACCACATTCTTGCCCACATTTGTCCCAGTTTTCATCTATGAAATTTTGGAGGGTATGCTTATGGAACCTGTTTTCTTCCACTTCTTCCAAATCTGCCAGGTTTCTGCAGTAAAACCAATAATAATTTCTAAGTAAGGATTTATTAATAAGAAGAGAGAATTTACATGGAGTCATGTAGAAACACGATGTTGAAGAATATCAGCCTTCATACGGCATGAATCTTTGTGGATACCAGCCTAATGTGTATGCTTCAATTGCAACAAACATGGTCCTCCCTCTGCCCACAAGCCCAAAGAGAAAATTAGTACATCATGGATAAATTAATCCAAGTCTTATGGATTATCTGGACAAGAAGGACAGGCAATGCTGAGGAACCATTCTGTGGAATTTAAACCAAAACATGAATTTGAATATTTAAGATAAAGTGGTATTGTTTATCCATATTTATCTCCTCCACCACTGATGTTTTTATTATCAAAGATTTGTAAATTCCTTAATTAAAAATAAAATAAAATCAAACACAATCAATTCAGTAATAATACAAATTCATACACACTTTTATCTTTGCTACATTATAATAGCTGTAGCAGGATCAGCCCTGATGTGTACTTGGATGGGAGACCACCAACAAATATCAGATACTCTAGGCTATATTTCAGAGGAAGGATGGCAAAACCACCTCTGAGTATCCCTTGTCTAAGAAAATCCTATGAAATTCATGGGGTCGCCATAAGTTGACAGGCGACTTGAAGACGCATACACACACAGTATTACTATATATCATGGACTGAATCCAATTTTTGTCCTGCCTAAAGCTGACCCAGTTAATCAAAGGGACTTCTTAAATCAAGACTTATGTACTTCCCATTGACTTGATGTCTTTATTCTAGCTGATCCCACAATTGGGATTTAGTCCATAATTTATAATATAGCCCAGTGTCTCAAAGAAGGCTTGTAAATTTTATTATCAAAAAGTGACAATTTTGCTAGAATAAATAGGTTTTGGGCAATAAAATTGCAGTCAAGCTGTATAAAGACCACAATGCGGAAGGGATATTAAGTAACCTGTCCTTGTGCTTGGATCCCCTGTTGTTGTTGTTGTTGTTGTTGTTGTTGTTGTTGTTGTTGTGTTCCTTCAAGTAATTTCTGACTTATGCCAAACTAAGGCAAATATATTATGGAATTTTCTTGGCAAGATTTGTTCAGAGGAAGTTTGCCATTGCCTTCCCCTGAGGAGACTGAAGGGCTCTACAGATGGCCCCTAAGGGGAGGCTCTGTGCCGCCCCTGGGAGCACTGGATCGGGGCTGTGATAACCGTATGCTACGGCCCCAGTCTGGCACTTTGCTGCTCCAAAAAGAGCTAGCAAATGCTGCTCCTTTTTGGAGTGGCAAAAAGTCACTTTTGCTGCCACCGTGGCGGCTTTTCTCAGCTCCTTTGGTGCAGTGTGTCTAAACGCTGCACCAAGGGAGCGCCCTGATGCCACCTGCCATCTATTTGGGTGGGTGGCATGAGGAAGATGTGGACATTGCATAAATGGAAACTGGCACATGTGTGGTCAAACAACGTCGGAGTGTGATTCAAGATGGCAAAAGTTGACAATAAGATAGAACACACAAGCTAGGAGAGGCTGAAGGAGTTTACTTTAGCCTTAGCCTACTGGGAAGGGCAAAGTTCTATTCCCTCCTCTCCTCTAACCCGGCTGAATTAATTATGTGCAAGCTTCTTTTTCACTATGAATTCAGTTTGCAGCAGTTGAAGTAAGCAGAAGTAAGACAAAGGGGGAAAGTGGGAGGAGGAGAGAAAGACTGGTAAATTTAAAAAGCAGTTGAAAAGGTGAGATGACAAAGGATTAATTGGGATTGTCACTGCCAATCAGGATAGTTGATGGGTATGGGACTATCTCACTTCATAATAAAGGTATGATTTGAACTAGCAAATTCATGGTTCACATTGTAGTCTTTTAGTCTTAATGCTACAACGACTCAACAGAAAACATTGTATGGAGCATTTTGATCTAGAACAGGACTGGAGAACCTGGGACCAGACTTGTGAACTAATTTGACACTGAGGAATATTAGAAACTAGAATAATATATTAAATCTTTCATAAATGAAGATTTAATGAACAAGGTAAGAGAGAAACAAGTAATGATTGTGAGGTAAGGAACTGAGATAAGACTCAGATAGGTAATGTGGCATGTGGTTTGGCTGGGAGGAAAAGGAAAACACCTTAAGAGGATGCAGGGTTTGAGGGAAAACAACCTCAGTATGATGTGGCTGGTACGTATGAACTGGGGTTGGGGGAACCGCTGGTTGTTTCTTTCTGAAGTGTTTTTACTCCCAATTAATTTCCACCTTCTACTATGTGCACCCATATGGTCAGAACCATTCAGGGAAGTGATATCTAAGGAAAGTTGCATTCCTCCTAACCAAATCTAATAACATTTGTAAGTATCAATGGTTAAGCCATTTTCACACGAGATGTAAGTATGTTATGTCAAGTTTATTTCAGTTTTACTGATAGCATTTCCCTGAAACAAGCCTTACAGTTAATTTGAGCCAGCATGGTATACCTCCTAAGCAGATGGCGCAAAGGGCCATTTGGGAGGTAAGGAAGGGGAGGGGCAGCCGCACGGTGGGCACCCCAACCCCTTCCCAAAGGCATCGTCAGAGAGCTGGCCCCTCTGCACGGCCGGTGCTCCGACGATGCCTTCCCGCCACAGCGGCCGCACACGCTGCGGCAGAAGAGTCGCTGAAGGTGCGCCATCAGCCTTTTGTGGCACACCTTTGGAGACTTATAGAAGGAGCGCTATTTTAGCACTCCTTCCAGGGGTGGCGAAGCTGAGCCATGGGGCCGAGGTGTGGGGATACCTTGGCCCCGCAGCGCAGCTTCCCGGGGTGGCCCAGGGCCGCCTGTCTGCTTCCCCCCATAGTGGTTTGATCTCTGGATTAGGATTCTACAAGCCAGGGTTTGAATCCCCACTCAGCCATGGATACTCTTTCAGCCTAGGCAATGGCAAATATCCTCCAAATAAATTTTGCCAAGAAAACCGTATGATGGGGTTGCCATAAGCTGGAAACCACATAACATAACAAAAAAAAAATCTGTAATTTACTGAAAGTGTGGAGACTTTTAAAATAGATATTTAACCTACTTAACAACACCACAATCCTCAACATTTCTTCAATAATATCCTTAAAAATTATACCTTTGAAAATGGTGAGAATTAGAGGATGATGAAGAGTTGGACTCCTCATTATTTGTTTAAATATTTGAAGGGATGTCATATTGAGGAGGGAGCAAGCTTGTTTTCTGCTGCTCCAGAAAACAGGACATGGAGCAATGGATGAAAGCTACAGATTACAACTCTACATTAGGAAGAACTTCCTGACAGTAAGAGCTGTTTGACAGTAGAACACACTCCCTCGGAGTGTGGTGGAGTCTCCTTCTTTGGAGGTCTTTAAACAGAGGCTGGATGGCCATCTGTTGGGAATGCTTTGATTAGAAGTTCCTGCATGGCAGGGGGTTGGTCTGGATGGCCTTTGTGGTCTCTTCCAACTCTATGATTCTATGATTCTACTAATTATGGTACAAGTAGAGTCACCAAATGAAAACAGGAGAAGTCTCCATTAAGGATTATATAAACAAGGGAATTTCAATGTGTATTGCTTGTTACCTGTTCATGATTTGTGTGTATATGTGCCTTCAAGTTGCCCATCAACATATGATACTCCCATGAAACAACATCTTCCAGAACATTCTCAATAGCAATGTATGGACTAGCTACAGGATGAATTGTAGTGACAAAATATCATCATAAGAGTGTTGAGAAAGTGAAAGTGTACTTTCCTTTAATTTATGGCATCTTGTTTATCTGTACATTTAGACACTTCTAGAAGGACAGAGAAAATTTGTTAGTCAAATAATCATGACCAGGCTTGTCTTTCATTGTTTTTACTATTCTTATCTCTTTTAAAAAGATTTACAAATTGTTCCTGATATTCCATTTGTAAATTGTAAAAATTGTAAAAAAAAAGTGGTAAAGAAGTGATTTATAAATGATGAAACTAAGGGCCTGTACAGACTGGCCAAAAGGGCTGACCTGGGGGTGAAGTAGGGGTAGGGTGACCACACACCCTGACTCTGCCCTGATGCCACCGTCACGTCGCGCACCCCACTGCATGGCGCACGGTGTCAGGGCACTCCCTTGGCACAACCTTTAAACACGCTGCACCAAAGAGAACAGAAGAGCTGCAGTGGCAGCAGTAAGGGTGGCTATTTGGTGACTTTACCAGCTCTTTTTGGAACGGCAAAGAGTCGGATCGGGACTGTGGTGTGCGGTTGCTGCGGCCCCAATCTGGCGCTCCCAGGAGAGGCATAAAGCTGCCCCTTAGGGGCCATCTGTATAGCCCCTAAATTAACTATTCCTCTTGACAATAAATACACTATTATGAAGGCATATGTCTTGATTTGCAACAGATGAATAGCTGTGTTTTTTTTAATTAGCTAAGAAGGCATTACAACCAATTCATTCAGGCCAAGAAACAATGGCAGAGGCCCAAAGGATCTGTCATTTATTGCCAAGCTGAGACCAAGTAGAGCAGGGATAGGCAACCTTTTTGAGCAGGGGGCCGGGTTGCTGTCCCTCAGACAATTGTGGGGCCGAAGCAAAAATAAATAAATTTTTAAAATTATTTTTTTTAAAAAAATATATATATACATGCACACTCTCTCAGCCCCAGAAAAGCCATGATGGCAAAACCCCTGTGGAGATTTTGCCAAGAAAACCCCAAGAACAAGTAATAACAACAATAATCAATATCATCATGGCGGGCGGCTGTGGCAGCAGGGGTTGTCGGCGGCGGCGGCAGGACCAGCCTAGGGCCGGTCCAAAGGCCTCGGTGGGCCGCATCCGGCCCCCGGGCCGCAGGTTGCCTACCCCTGAAGTAGAGTAACTGAAGTGACT